GCTGGATGCAATCATCGCATGCCAATGTGCATTGGCTCGTTTAGTTTACACTCGAAATGGATTGGTCTCTCTAAGCGAGATCCCAATTCGTCGACGTGACGTCTCCGTTCCCTCCTTCAGGGAACAAGGGTTACATACGTAACCGAGACGTTACGTTTAGATTACTTTTGACCTAACGTCTTTTTGATTACTTTTAGATTATTTTTGACCTAACTTGTTTATCGCATAGATTTCATTTCAAGTCAAGTTTATTTGGATACTGCTTATAACAATGCATATAGTTTTAAAGCAGCTTTAAAGAAAATATTTCTTTCAATGGTCAATGTTCGTTTCAATGTCACCTGACCAAACCGGAAAACGAGTCTCATCACATTCGCTTGTCGGAGAAAATGTTAATAGCGATATCTATGGACATTGTGTTTTAAGAAGAGTGCCTGACAGTTTTTCAGCTGGCTAAAAACGCTTTGGTGGACACGTTATTGAATATTTATTGTTAGGCATATGGCCTATTAGTGTTTTTAGCATTTATGCAATATACTGGAGCCAAACCTGAGAAAGTAGACCAGAATATTCCACTGCTTGATTTGCATCAAATATACCTGTGCGACTTATGACTGGTTTTGTGGTCCAGGGTCACATATGTGATGGCTATCATTTATGATCATCTTTGGTATCTTCTTTCAAGGCATTTTGAGTAAAACAACTTCATATTTAGCAAAACACAAAAGACCTGAACCGGAAGCGACGCAACCTTTTTTTACAGAATACAGAAGTTTGTTGCACATGACCCTTCTTAGGAAGTATTCTGTTATCAGCCACAGATGCGTGTCAGAGTAATATCCATATGGCAGTAATTTACAGTTATAATATATGTTATGTGGTCAGTTAATAACTTGTATTCAGTTAAGTGGACACAATGAACGTGTTAAGCAACAATTAAAATTTGTGCTCATAATGATTACAGAGCCTGATCTATCCAATGGTATGAACAAAAGCGAATATGACGTAAAAAAGCAATCGCAAGCATGCTGTTTTAGCTTATTTTTCAATCTATAATCTTTCATCGTAGGTCATGTTTTTTTTCACGGGATTCATACCCAAGGATTCCGCATCTTAAATCCAATTCCGTGCCGGCTGAGCTAACGAGCTGTAATCATAAATGTGTATGAAAACGATTAAAAGTGCTCGCTGTTTTAGCGCCTCTAGTGTTCATTTCTGTTGGAAACTGCAGTGATATGTACTTATTGGTACGTATTTCGTGTTTTGTGAAAAAGTTCCCACAAGTAAGTTTTTGTCATGAGATAAGGTTTGGAATACAATATTAGGATTTACTACTACAGTATTTGGGGCAGTCTACAGTTTCACTGTTCATTTCACTTCTCACTCATATTCATGTGATTTTTCTTAATTACTGAAATCATCTCTTTAATCTTAAAAGTGAACCGAATAAGGTTGTTAAAATGTATGTAACCACAACAAATCTGCTTAGATGGTTTCAGTACACCACATTTAGTGTGTTTCTGCCTAATGAATACAATACTGTGGGCAAAACTTTGAGTGTCAATCCATGCATCTGTATTTCAGCGAGAAGCAGATATTAACAGCTATCATTTCCTCATAGTCTACCATATTTCACACTCGGCTTACAGACAACTGTGCTACTGCAGTTGGATTTTATCTATTGATCCACTATTTAAAGTGATAGTTCACCGCAAAAAAATAATATTTTGTCATCAATTACCCACCCTCATGTCTTGAAATCTGTATGACTTTTTTCTGTAGAGCACAAACATAGTTATTTATAACAGAATGTTCAAGCTGCTCTTTCCCATACAATGACAATGGGCCTCATTCATGAAACACAAGCAGAACTAATTTTTGTTTAAATCGTTCGTAAAGCCGTTCTGACATAAACTTTCGAATTCATGAAAATGTTCATATTTTCAAAACGTTAGTTGGTAGGAAAGAAATTGACACCTGCTTCCTACCACATCTAAATGGTGCGTAAAACGTTCTTCTGTGTTCATTTTGGCAAACTGATGACACTGAATTTGATGCACTGCCATTATAATATTTTACAAGTTTGTTTGCTCCGTTTTTTTTTTTGTTTTGTAGCTGAGAGTTGATAAACTGTTTAGCTTTGGGTAATAACTATCCAATCTGATATATATGAAGTGTTTGTGAATTTGGAGGAAAGTTTTTAGGAAGGTCCATTTTATGCGCAAATTACTCAGAATTTACTCCTATATTTACGAATGTTTCATGAATGAGACCCAATGAATGGCGACCACGACTCTCAGACAAAATCGTCAGTGAATAACATAATTTTTTTTTTGCATGTACAAAAACAGTACATGGTGAGTTATGCTGCTAGATATTGCTAACTAGTATTTATTATTATGTCAATGTATCATCATAATCATGACATCGCTGGTTTGTTGTGAAGAAAGAAATTGACACCTGCTTCCTACCACATCTAAATGGTGCGTAAAACGTTCTTCTGTGTTCATTTTGGCAAACTGATGACACTGAATTTGATGCACTGCCATTATAATATTTTACAAGTTTGTTTGCTCCGTTTTTTTTTTTGTTTTGTAGCTGAGAGTTGATAAACTGTTTAGCTTTGGGTAAAACACAGCGCTTGTCACTGTCACTTTTTACCCAGCCGTCCAATCAATGGAGGAGGGGACGCAATTTACGTAGCTGTAATTCATAGGCGGGGATTAGCCTATGCTAATTGTAAATGAGCGTGCACGAGCGCCCTATTTACGAATGATTGGAATTCGTTAACATACACATGTTTAACTATCCAATCTGAAATATATGAAGTGTTTGTGAATTTGGAGGAAAGTTTTTAGGAAGGTCCGTTTTACGCGCAAATTACTCAGAATTTACTCCTATAATCCTTAATAGATTTTCTCCAAATAGTGGTTTATATTTTCTGTCCGTTATCTTTTAAATGTGAAAACGCTACAGTACCATTCAAAAGTTTGGGGATATGTTTAAAAATTTTTTTTTAAAGAATTCACTTATGCTTACCAAGGATGAATTATTAGGGGGAAAAAATACAGTAAAAACTGTAGTGCATTGTACCTTTACACTGAAGAAGAAGAGGAGGCGGTTTCAATAGTGAAATTGAGTTCAATAGCTTTGGGGGCTTGTGGAATGATTCAGTATTTTCCAGGAAGCCGACTGAAATGTATTATTAAGTTCAATCTCCTGGAGAATAGGATGCCGCACAAATATTGCTAAAATCCATAGTATTTATCTATATACCTCAATGTGGTATTGATATGCAAATCATTTTACCCAGGGAAGTTACTAAGGCCAAGTTCTCTTGAGATAAAAACTTGCATTAAAATTCTTAACATATTTGAACACTTAAGCCACATTTCTGAATGCTATTGCAATAGTTTAAAAAAAATAAATTGGCATTTATTTTAAATAAATATATCAATTAATTAATCTACATCAAACGTGAGCATGTGAAGACATTAACTGTGCATTTTTAAGGAGATTTGTCATCTATGTATAGAACATATCTAATAGCTTTTAGATTTTTACATATGGCCATATCATCTAAATGTATTACATAATTTAAGATTAGAAGTATGAGGATTTTTGGAGGTAGACAGATAAGTGAAACTGGGTTTTAATTGTAATTGCAGGTCACGTTCCCCTACTGTCACCGAAACACTGGGTTTTACGCCCTCTAGTGGCTTTTTAGAAAAACTGCATTGTTTGCACCTGAACTTGAATTAAACTTCCAAATTCAGCTGTGTGACACTCTTCTGGTGTGTTTCCTTTATGTTAAGCCTACAATTAACAGTAGTTTGCTAAGAAAATATTAATGAATTATAATTTGTAAACTATACCACATGGATTATGCACAAGAAAGTAGGTCATCTGCCTTCTGTTGAGATACATAATCCTCATGCAACCTTTAACAGAAATGGTCTTATGAAGCCACAGCTGTAGCAATAAACCAATCTGCAAAATAACCAGAACATGCATATTGGTTATGACCGTTCGTTAATTATTTTAACTAGACTTCGCCGCCTTGGAATTATAAGGTTTTTATCTGCATTCTGAGCAGTTTTGAAATATTGAGCTTCAAAGTTTTAGCATTCCATAGACTTCTGTAGATAGAACCCTTTTTGTTTTCTAAAAAAAAAAGTCCCAAAATGTACACAGATTACAAAAGAAACATCACATGTGTATAACTCAAGTTTGACAAAAATGTCAGATAGAACCTTATAATTCCAAGGCGACGACTTGTTTGCTTGTTCAGACATTTCTTGATATATATATATATGATTCACTTCATCAGGCCAATTTTCCTCTCCCAAAGGTATTGTATTATTATAAAGTATTAATAATACAATTAATAATATTATAAAGTATTATTAACTATTATTATTATTATTATTTAATCTTATTGTTTTTTTTTCTCTCTTTTATCAATATCTTTACTGAACAGTCAATGGGAGGGAGCAATTAACTTACATTTTATTCACATTATTTCCAATTATGTTTTGTTCCACCAACGAAAATAGTTCGAAACGAAGCAGAATATTTTTTGTCTCAGAGCAGCAGATAGCAGTGTTTTGTTTTTAATGAGTCAGCGTTTTGAAGGAATCGTTTGAGAGAAAGATTCTATGACTCGCTCATAAACACATTCATTTGTTGCCACTTACTGGTGTAACGATGTAACTTCAAGAAAGCGTCACTGAAAAAATAAATAAACGGAGTGATACAAACACTATCGACTATACGACACGGACCTAATTGTAGCTATAATGTTAAACAGATCATTAAACCCGTAGCACTGCTCAATGTTTATCAAAGCTGCTTGTCTGAAACACCCAGAAGTGCTGTTTATTTCGCGACAATGAATATGAAAATAAGACATAATATATCCTGTTTATTTTTCATAGTCAAGCTGAATGCGCTCACAACGGCTTCACAATCAAAACAGTCAATGTTGATGGCGATGTGAAAAACATCACAACATTGTTGCTCAATGTGTTTGACAGATGATTTGTAACAAACTATCAAATGCTATGATGTAATGATATATTCCTAATTTTATGAGCATCCTTTAACGCACAGACATGGCTAGATTAACACATCTGTTTGACTGGCACATTTAAATTAATTAAAGCGTCGAATGGTCATTTTAATGGTGACCTTTATCTTTATTTTTTCCATATTACAAGCTTTTTTACTTACCCAGAAACACCATCAATGCAACACAGGATAATTTCAAAGCGGACGCCCACTGCGTTTTCCCAAAATGCAATAAAATAGGCATTTTGGTCGATGACAGTAAACGTAGAGGAAAATAAGACCAGCAAAGCTTTTGAGATCTATGTCTTCGTTTCAATTATACAAAAAAAAAAACACGTAAAATGTTTTTATTTTGTGCTATGATATGGCTGGCAGTGTCTGTAGTAGGAAAACTGGTTGATAGTATGGTTGTGGCTTATTATTTATCATACTTGAGGTTTCAATTGAACCATGTTACAATACACTATAATAGCAGCAAATAAAATATGATATGAATCAGTTTTACATGATTTAAAAAAATCAGAATGCATCTTTATATTACATGTCTCTCATCAATTGAGAAAAATCAGAAATCAGCCTAAGAAAATCCAAACGGCCGTTGACGCAAAACTAAATAATGAGGCTCTAGCTTGCAGTAGGACCACCTCTCCTCATCTCCTCACTAATGGAGATCAAAGTGCACTAGAGATGAGCAAGAGGTGGAAATACACATAAAGGGATGAGAATGGTGCCGAAAAATACGATGATGATTATTAAAGATACACATGGGCATATACAGTAGGCAGTGTATTTATCTGATTAGTGAAACGAGAGCACATTCATTGAGGGTGTGCCTTGATGCCAATAATGGTTAGCCACTAGTTTTATTATGATTTATAAAACTCATGGTCTGTGGTTCCTCAAATCTCAAAGGACAGTTGGCATGAATACATAAGTGTGTAATGCTTAGAACCACTTCTCCACTGCAGGTACATTTTGTTTGCCTCTTCAGAGACAGAGAGACAGTTAGAAGAAGTGGCAATTTCATGCTGATGAGAAGTCATCGAGAAGATAGAGAAAAAGTCGAGGGCTGAAGCTCACAATGAAGTGCAGTAACTAAACTATATTGACCACTGTTGACATCTGGTAGATGATGAAAGAGGTGCATGAGGAAAGAACACAGATTTATTATGAGGGATAATGTACAGTAAGCTGTTGAGTATTGAAAAAGAGTTCACAAACCAGTCTGTTTGGGGACTATAAAATGCATATCTGACAATTACTCTCACTAATTTAAATAATCAGTTATTCTGTGTCTCATCTTTTAATCTGATTGATAAATCTTGGTGGCAGCGGACATATATGGATTCCTCATCCTTCGGCTGCCAATCAGAGGGAAGACATCTGTTGCGTCCAGCTGTGACAGGAGCGTCTGGTGCGAATTGGAAACTATGCTGCTTCCAGCGATTAAGAATACACACAAACAAAAGCCATTTGACATCTTGTGAACATTTTTTACTTTGATAAATGGTTAATAATCAGTGTACACAAGAAGGGATGTATGCATATACATATTTCACTTACAATAATGAAGATGTACGTCATTAAGAATAGAATTAAGGTGTATAATTAATGTCCACATGACATTTTACTGTATGAAGTCTGTCCTTATTTTGTGATATTAAATCAACTGAAATTTGCATATACGCTTAGTCTATGAAAAATATATTTAATGTAATGGTGCATTAATATTTGTATAAATATAGAGGGTTTAAAGAGAGTTTTAGAACTTTACATCTTTATGTAATTTCATAATTCTGCTGTCCATTAAATATATATTGAATGCACGTTTAAGCATTAAATACTTAAATGCAATTTCTGTTGAAACGTGTATGCCACCACTTTTTAAATATGTTTGTTTTTGCACATTTGTAATGGTGAAGCTGCAATTTAGTATCTTTCATACTTTGTAATTTTGAATATTCAAATTATAATTTTGCATACTTTACATGCTAGTCTGCACATCAAAATAAGTGTACGTATTTAAAGCATGGAAATAGTTATTCAAATGATTTAAAATGTACTTCAAACTTAAATGTTTAATCTGAAAATTATCACTTTTTTCAAAAAAATTACTGAAGTGTGTTAAGAAACATAGTCATGAAAGTGTCTTTCATTGAGTACACTTAAGTGGACTTTTAGTCCATTAAAATGTTATTATTTGCAAAACAGGTTTCTAAAAATATAGTTTTAAGATTTAAAGTGCACAAAAAGCATCAATACAATTATGCACACTTCTTTTTCACAAGGGAAGTTTAAACTCATGCAAAATCTACTCTCACTTAACACTAACAGAACATTTACTCAAATATTCACATTATTTTGTTTATTTCATATTTTGCTTTCATGTCCATCTTACCATGGTAACATAGATGTTCCTCTTCAGGAACTCGAGCTGTGTCAGAGGACGCTTCGGGAACGCCCTTCAGCGTGACCGGCTCTGAACCTCTTGTGTAATCAGTCCAATAGATGGGCAAGGCGGAGCGGTGTGCTCGTGGGTTTCGCATATGGATCCGGTGGAGGGAATGTAGACGGGCACGTCCCTATTTACTTCCTTAACCATCAGATCCAGCACCCACTCTCGGGGTTTCGGAAGCCCACGCTGCGGTACTTCCCCCCCCGGGGAGAGGATGCGACGCTCCGCCTGCCATTCTCCAAGGAGATTGATACGGAGGGCGTCAGAGAGCTCGCCAGTTGGACAA